ATCGAACCCACCACCTTTCGGTGTATAGTATGATGCTCCAACCAACAGAGCCACACCAGCCAGGACTGCATGAATGAATTTAACTCAAACATTATTGAGTACCTACTGTTTGTCAGATGTTATATAAAACCATAGAGTTAAGTAAGTACTCCAAGAACTTCTAAGACATGCAAATAAATAACTATACATCAGGCAAAACAAGCACCAACAGAGAGAACTCTATGATGTTGGGTTATTGAGATTGTATTTTGAGACTTGGTTGCTGACAGGGCAATTAAGGGGTTCACAGTTGAAAGGGGAATGACATGTTTATTGAGACTCAGAGAAAGCAGAAAAAGGAAACAAGTAGAACCACTGTTGTCAGTCCAGGCCATGTGAAAGTATGTGAATTAAGATGGGGAAAATAGGACTAGAAGGAAAGACAAGAAAGGATGACGTCTTTAGAATTAAATCATTAGACTTGGTGATTTCTTTGGATAGAAGGGTTGATGGCTGAATGAGTTAAGAGTGACTGAGGACTTAGCATCTAAAAATTTCAATATCTGAGACTGAACATCATAGAACCATAAAATATTAAATGTTAACTATTGTTATCATGTCTTAGGGCTCTGGCATATACATCATCTCACAATTCTATTAGAAGCCATTATCCCAATTTTATAGATTAAGAAACCAAGATTTTAAGAAGTATTTAGTATCTTCCTTACATTACATCTTACTGGTAGAACTAATGTAGACAGAACTGTATTTTTGCCGAGGTCTGCTTAGGTCTAGATATCTTTTCAGAATGGCACATAGTTGTCTTACACTATATATGATTTCCATTGGTATTATCTAGGTACTCCACTCCTGATCTGTGTGTATCTGTTCTAAATTTTTAATTCCTGGGAGAAAGAATCTATTGGCCCAAACTCAGACAGGTATCTGCCCCCTACATCCACAGGTTGAGACAGACTATCAGTGGCACAGTGTGGACATGGCTACTGTAGCCCCTCCAGAGAATCACTGTGAGCTGGGCAGACACCCCAAGAAATGTCCATGAATTTGGTAAATACTGACAATTGGGTGACTGCAGGCAGCATCCTGTCATTAACTCGCAGAAACAGCTTGGAGAGCAGAGCACAGTGTTAGTAGTTCTGCTTCCTCTCTTTTCCCTGCCTCATTAAGATCACTTTCATTCAGCAGACATTTATAGTACACCTACTCTCTGTCAGCTACCAGCTGGGGATACGAAGAAATCAGATCCCATCTCTGTGTCTAGCAAGGAAGGAAGAACAGCACAAGTAATTTTAATGGAGCACGGCAGGTAAACCGATAAAGACACACACTTACAGGCTTCCTTACCCTGAAAAATTGTGCTCACTGTCATCCATGGTGGAACTCCATTATTGCTCTCCCAGCAGCTGTTAAAGACAATTATAAAAACACCAACAAATGAGTACAATTCTGATTATGTCCTGTATGGGGCACTGGGGCCTAAGAAACTTGTTAATTACATTGGAAAGGAAAAGTTAATTATAAAGCAAACAGATTTCATTAGGTATGAGAATCATAGACTATGAGGGGTCAGCGGGTCCCCAGGAGTCACTCAGGTTAATTGCTTGTTTGAGGTCTAAATGGGTTCTCTCCTTTGGTCTCTCTCTTTCTACTTCTGTCTCCTTGAAATTGCTGCCCAGTCAGATATCCACTTGCTGATGCTGAAGTGTGTGAACATCATTAGTAAGTGGATTATAGAGGATTATGAACCATAACTTCTGTTAGCAGCTTTCTTCTCTCCATTGAGAGTAATTGTAGGTTTTCTATTCTGTGAGGCTTAAAGAAATTAATAGGGACTTTAAAGGACATTAAAGTCATACTAATTTGGGAAAAACCATTAAATTGTGAAAAGATAACTTGGCTGATTTGAGCTAACTTTGTCCAGTTAATCGTGATTTCTCAATAAGAATTTACGTACAGCCGTATTTTTAATGCTGGTAACCTTTGAAAGAGACAGGAAAAGCCATCTGCTTAATGACTGCCAAATACATTCTGTCCGTGGGCATTGGATCCTGAGTAGATATGTCCTGTTGGCTTTTGGCTATAAGCTAGAGCTGAGCTTTATTGTGTGATTCGATGGAGGAAACTGAATAGGAAAGGAAATTACCACTGGGGAAAATGCTATTACTTACCCACCGGTGACTGGCTGCTGCTTCTGTGTAGGAGCAAACTGCTGAGGAATGGATTGTACTCCCTGAAAAACCGGAGCCATCTCTTAACATGATAATGTAAGCTCAAGGCATCCGTAGTGCTGTCAGAAAAAGGGAGCTATGTTGCTACTCTGTATCAGTTTTGGTTCTTCTCCCTTTTGCTTTGATTTGGCTGGTATGCTAGATAATCCAAGAATCTGAAAAGGTTAGAGCAAAAAATGGCACCTAGACTTCATCTCTTGTTTATACTCTGCCGCATTCCACAAGAATTTATCAGTTTAAGATTTGTACAGTTCAACCTACTTACGAGATTAGGAAAGTGATTCTCTTAGAAGTTATTTGCCCCAAATCCTATAGCTAGAATTAAAACTCCTACCTCTGTCTCCTTATTGAAGTGATTATTACTTTTTTTTTTTAATAGCTATGTTAAGTACAAACTACTTGCCAGGCACTGTGATTTGCCCTAGATGATGTAACAGAGAGAAGAACGAACATGCATCTTGTCCTTGGGGTGCTTACCCTCAGGAGGAAGACATAGTTGAAGCAGATGTTCATACAAGTCAGTTAGGTAAATTATGAAGGAAACAGATCTGTGATCGTTGCATAGGGTGCTATAAGCATATAATGGAGATCCTAGAAGTCTTGTTTCAGGAAATGACATTTATGGTGTGCTATGAAGGAAAAATAGGAATAAATCAGACAGAGGATTTGGGCAACAGGCATGCAGAGAAGAGAATGAGAGAAGGCGCTGAGGTGGGTGGAGCTTGGCTCAGCTGAGAAATTGAAAGAGAACCAGCATAGCTGGAGGGAGCAAAGCAAGCCAGGAGAAGAGAACTAGCGAAATGGAGGCTGGGCCCAGACTGCTCAAGGCCTTAATAGCCTTCACAATTTTGGACTTGATCTTAAGTGCAATAGGAAGTCACAGAAAGATTTTAAACAGGGGATAAAAATAGAATGAGATTTATGTTTTGGAACCATAAATCTGGGTGAAAAATAGATTGGAGAGAGGATGAAGAGTATAAATAGGGAGACCAAATAGGATGCCCTTCCATTAATACAGGTGAGAAATGATGATGGCTTGCATAGGATAGGATGGAAAGAAGCACAAAGATTCAAGGTATGATTTGAAGGTAGAATCAACAAGATTTCTTTTTTTTACAAGTCAGGGTATTTCATTTAATATATTCTAATCAAATAGTAACAGCAGTAAATAAAAACTTTGAAAAACAGGCAGATAACCCCTTGTCTGGAAGAAAATTAAGTCAGTTTTCTACATGGCTAATGGAAGGCAACTGCTGATGTCCGTGGTTACACAATTCAAGAACAACTTGGAAATTTCTAAAGCCATTTCCAAAATAATCTATAGTAACAGGTTGGGACACAGCTACTTCAGGAGGTAAAATGTCTCTGTCTACATGGTTTCATTAACTGAGATTGGGCCGCACAGTACAGCAGGGATTGAATATACATTTGAGGTGTGAGCAGTTTCAAGAATGACTCTCCGGTTCTTGGATGAACAACTGGACAGATACTGTTGACATTTACACAGGTGGAAAGGAAATTGACTGTAGAACCCTCTGGGGACTGAGTGGGATAAAGAGCTCTATTTTATGTAAGACATTTATAAGACATCTAGTGGAAATGTAAAGTAGGATATGCAGATCATACACTCAGAAAACATCTGGGCTAACTGTGAATTTGGAAGACATCTATATATAGTCTTTGAACTTCAGAAAATAATTCACCTAGTTGAGGTTATTGAACTCACACTGAAAGATGGTGGGGTAGAAATTTAATAAAGAAAGGCATTTCAGGTAAAGGCAGTGATATGATTGAAGCCCCAAAGCAGCAACAATGTGGACCAATGGGTCTTTTTCCAGTTGGTGAGAAGTGAAAAATAATGAGGTGTGATTCTGAGGGCCCTAAGTCAGGTAGTGGCTATCCTATATGCATTGGTCAGCTTGAGAGGTCTGTGAACAGTCTTAGATCTTCACACAGCACTAAGAAGCATTTTTTGTGCTTCCTTTGTTTATAATGTGAAACCTTAAAGTCAGACTTCCATAAATCTTGAGATAATTATATTGGTTGTGCATCAAGAATAAAGAGTAAAGGATAAATCTCCCATAGAACCACCACCTACCATTTGCTAGTAACATAGTGGAAATAAGCCCAAATAATCAGAACTGGTATTGTAGAAGTTGTTCTGTGCCTGTTGCCCTGGTGATGAAATTTCAGCTCCCACCTCCTCTGCTCCAATTAGGATGATAAGGAGTAGGATTAACCTAACCCACAAAGCCTTGCCTGTCTGGATCTCTGCTCTCCCCATCCATCACTTCTCCTCCCAGGGTCCACACAGATGGGGACTGCTGTATACATCCCATCATCCTTCATTTGGCAGAACAAAGGAAGAAGCCAAGTGAGGAGGCTGGGAACCTTTCCAGTTCAAAGAACAAAATGCTCTAAACATTAGTGGGGCCTAGAGGTTACACACACCCTTTTGAAAAATGTATACTCCTCAGTGCTGAAAGAACTGATGGCTTTCCAAAATTATCCTCTGCAGCACCTGACTTACTAAGCAGGATTTGGCCAGCTCCTAGCATCATCATTCTTTGTCACTAATAATTGTATCTTAGTATCCCTTGAGTAATACATCTCTTTTTGTGCCTAATAGTTTTGCATGTTATATATATGTATGTATTTTAATTCAGTAGTGCTGTGCATGCATTTTCAACTGAGAACTGAAGAAATTATTATAACTTGAGCCAGGAACTTGGCATTTATTGTGTACTGATTCTGCGTACTTAACATCCACAGAAATGAAGATGCAGTCAATCAGATGGCCGTTGCTCCCTTTCCATTACCATCAACTTCCCCATCTTTTATTGAGGTAAGATGGTTCCTAATTAACTCATAGTGAATATATTAGATGGATTTGTCATAATTGTTTTTTTCAAATGTAGCTTTTTTGATTTTCAGTATCTTGTATTCTAAACTCATAGAACTTATTAACTAGGGGATTTCCCTAATTAAAATGGAAAGTATTTGAAGTATGATTATAAATTAATATAGAACAGTGTTAAACAAACACATTAGAACTTAATCATATGAGTATTGCCTTCCTCAAAGTTCCTTAAGGCTTTTTCTAGATATAGAATATGTCCTTATTTCTTAGAAAATTCTCTTTTTTAATAACTGAATAGTACTTTTGTCTTTATGGTTTTAAAATACTTTAATAGCCATGATTGCAGATATCTTTAAATACTTTCATCTATTCACAGGGAAAGTACTGATACAACAAGATTGCTATCATAATGACCTGCCTCTAGAGATATACAGCTCTATAATCAGTGTGTCTCCCCAGCTCAGGGATTATTACATTCTCCTTATGTTTTTTTATTTATTGGGTTAATTTTTAATTTCAAAAAGAAATACATACTTATTATAATTAATCAAATGCAGATTTATTAAAAGAAAAGGTTGATTTTCTTTTCTTCATTTCCCCAAGGAAGTTAATATATACTGTTTAGTATCTCTCTATCCTTTTTTCTTTGCTTCTACAACAAAAACAAACAGCTATATGAACTTGAATAGTGTTTCTATTAGTCAGTATTGGATTATCTAATACACATTGTTTTAGTCAACAAGTATTCGATGAGTGCATGTATTGTGCATGAATCAAACAGATAAGGCTGCCTGCCAGGTTCAGTCCATATTCTAACGACAAAATTAACAAATAAACTAAGAGAATTATGAATAGTGGTCTGGGACTTGCAGATAATTAAATTAAGGGATGCGGCATGTGACCACTTTGGTTTGTTATAGGGAAGGCCTCTTGGACAAGGTAAAATTTAAACAAGATCAAAATGATGAGGAGCCAGACCTGCAAAGATAAGGGGCAGGGCCTTCTCGGCAGGGGACAAAAATCGCTGTCAACTATTGGATGAGCTGGTGTATCTGAGGAATGTGGCTGGGAGCATGTATGTGCAGTAGAAGCTGCTAGAAAGTTTCTAACAGAGGAGTGAAGTCTACTAAGTGGAGAACAGGCTACAGGAAGGTGAAAGTGTTATGCTGGAAGGCAGAAGCCCAGGTGTGACCTGATTATCCTTGGATGAGGTTTTGGTATTGGAAACAAAGAAAAGTGAACTGATCCCAAACTTGATGTTTTGGATGTTAAATAAGACTTAACTGATTATATGTGAGAGCTAAGGGGACATAGAAAATCATGGAAAAACCTAGATTTGTGGATAGTGGTGCCATTTACTATAGTCTGCTGAAAAATACTGTACTTTAACAGGTAAGCAAAAATTAAGAGGTTTATTTTAGACAGGTTAAGTTTGAGATGCATATTATACATTCTTCTGGAATAGATTCTATAAATTTAAAAAAAAACTTGCCTTTTTTGCTTAATATAACAACCATATATTTATATGCTCTATTATAATCTTTTTCCAATTGACAGATATTCAGACAATACTAGTTCAAAATTTTAATCTGTGTTGACAATTACAGTCTGAGAAGATTGTAGTGGCAGATATTTACTCTCTACCAATAGACATTGAGCCATAGTTTTGCCAGCACTGGATACTTTCGTTTTAATTAAGAGCTAGGGAAGGCACTTTGCATGGTGGTGGAAATGAGGGGCCCCAGAGCCATATTGCTTCAGTTCAAATTGTAGCACAACCATACACCAGACGTGTGACTTTAAGTCGTCATAGTAACCTCTTCTACCCTCACTTATCTGTAAGGAGATGATAATATGAAGCTCCTACCTCACGGGGTTAAGATTAGAGACTTCCGGTCAAGATGGGGGCGTAGGTAAACGCAGTATCGCGTCCTCCCACAACCACATCAAAGTTATAACTAAACTACAGAACAACCATCATTCAAAACCGCCTGAAATCAAGCTGAATGGAAGTCCTACAACTATGGAATAAAAGCAGCAGTCACATCGAGACCGGTAGGAGGGGCGAAGGTGGACAGGCTGGTCCCACACCCACATGTGGCGGATAAAAATCAGGAGGACACCTCGGCTGGGAAGGTCCTTCCTGAGGACTGAGGGGTCCCCGTCCCACACCAGGTGCCCCGCTCAGGGTTCCAGTGCCAGGAAGAGAATCCCCATAACTTCTGGCTGGAAAAACCAGCAGGAACCGAGGCTCAGGGAAGCTGACGCGGCTAGAGCCCCAGACAGCTCCTTAAAGGGCCCACGCACAGACTTATCGGACTCTCTCCCTCTAAGCTTAGAGGGGAGGCAGCTCGAGGGGCACCAGAGACATACAGGGAAGAACTGAGCTGTTTGGCACTGGAGCAAGGGCTGGAAGAAGGGGGCTTTCTCTGGGACAAATGTGCTGTCAGAGGCCTTTGTTCCTTTGGTGAGCCCTTCCCTGGGGCGGCAGACAGTCGCCATACCTGGGATTCCAGCAACCTGGCTCACACTGGTAGCCCTGCCCTGGACTCCCTGAGGCCCCGCCCCAACCAACTTTCAGGCCCACCCAAGCTGTTGCCACTTGCTTAACCATAGGATTGGCCTGTCTTGGATCCTGCTTCAGGTTTTTCCTAAATTCTTTCCAACAAGCAGCATCTGGTCTCAGCTAGCCCCATACCTCTTGTTAAGTAATACACAGAAACAAACACAGGGAGGCAGCCAAAATGAGGAGATGAAGAAACAGGTCCCAAATGAAAGAACAGAACAAAAGCCCAAGAAAAGAACTAAGCGAAATGGAGATAAGCAACCTAACAGATGCTGAGTTCAAAATATTGCTTATAAGGATGCTCAATGAACTTAGTGACAACCTCAGTGAACTTAGTGAGGGCCTCAAGAGCATAAAAAAGGACCAGTCAGAAATGATGGATGCACAGTCAGAAATGAAGGAGGCATTAACTGAAATAAAGAATAATTTACACAGATTCAGTAGTAGAGTTCGTAAATCCAAGAGGCATACCATCGATTTGGAATATAAGGAAGCAAAAAACGCCCAATCAGAACAGCAAAAAGAAAAAAGAATCCAAAAAAATGAGGATAGTGTAAGGAGCCTCTGGGACAACTTCAAGCGTGCCAACATTCGCATCTTGGGGGTGCCAGAAGAAGAGCGAAAGAACAAGAAATTGAAAACCTGTTTGAAACATTAATGGCAGAAAACTTTCCTAGCTTGGTGAAGGAAACAGACATACAAGTCCAGGAAGCACAGAGAATCCCAAACAAGATGAACCCCAAGAGGCCCATACCAAGACACATCATCATCAAAATGCAAAAGGTTCAAGACAAAGAGAGGATCTTAAAAGCAGCAAGAGAAAGGCAGCTAGTTACCTACAAGGGAGTTCCCATAAGGCTGTCAGTTGATTTCTCAAAAGAAACTTTGCAGGCCAGAAGGGAGTGGCAAGAAATATTCAGAGTGATGAAAAGCAAGAACCTACAACCAAGATTACTCATCCTGCAAAGCTGTCATATAGAATCGATGGCCATATAGAGTTTCTCAGACAAGAAAAAGTTAAAGGAGTTCATCACCATCAAACCGTTATTATATGAAATGATGAAGGGTCTTTTTGAAGAAAAAGATAAAATATATGAACAAACCAAATGGCAATAAATACATATCTATCAAAAATGGAATCTACAAACAAAATGAACAGGCAGAACAGAAACATTCTCATAGATACAGAGAACATTTTGTCGGTTGCCAGATGAAAGTGGGGTTGGGGGAATGGGTGAAAAAGGTGAAGGGATTAAGAAGTACAAATTCATTGCTAGACTGACAAACCTCAAAGGGAAAGGGGTTGGGTGGTGGGAAGAAATAAACCAAAGAACTTATATGCATAACCAATGGACACAGACAATAGTGTGGGAAAAGGCGGGAGGGGGGGCGGGAGTGGGGAGGAGGGGGGAGGAGAGGGTCAATGGGGGAAAAATGAGGAACATCTGTAATACATTCTACATTCAACAATAAAGATTTAAAATTAAAAAAAATAAAAAAGATTAAGGTATATGTGTGCGTGTGTGTGTTAGTGTGTGTCTTGTGCCTGGCACATGGAAGCTGTCCAGTAAATGTTAGTACTTAATTACTAATTCTTTTGTGTTTATACAATGTTACATAAAAAATTTTGAATGGGTAGGTCAATATTTTAGAAATTTTGAATGGGTAGGAGGTCAGTATTTTAGAAATTTTTTTCTACAGTATTATTAGTTATGAATGTTTCCATCAAAATATCATCCCCTTGGAACTGAATTTTTTTTTTTTATTCCTCACCTGAGGATATTTTTCCATTTATTAATGTGAGAGAGACACATTGATTGGTTGCCTCCCAAATGACCCCAACCAGGACCAGGGACCAAATCGCAACCAAAGTACATGCCCTTGACTGGAATCGAACCCATGACCCTTTGGTCCATGGGCTGGTGCTCTAGAACCACTAAGCCAAACCAGCTGGGGCTGAAATTTTTTCTTGCCCAAATTTTTTCTCAGTGTAAAAGAAAAACACCTTTACAATGAGCAAGAAAACTAGCCTGTCATTAAATTGTAAAGCTTCTGTGAGATCCAAAGCTTTTGTGTCTTAGAGCGGGCAAATGTATACTGTTGGTGTCAACATTTAATTTGAGAGGACTGGTTGGGGGTTTCTGTTTGGTTTCCTTTGTTTTCTTTCTGTCAGGAATGACTTCCGATATTAGCTACCTATCTTCTTTGGTCTGTAACCAGCCAAGTAGTTTCTGCTGCTTCCTGCTCAAAGAGCGGCAACTATAAGGGGAGGAGTGAATATTGTCCAACACTGTCTCACGTACATCCAGGCCTCTGGAAGATAGCATTATTATTTCCACTTTATGGAAGAAGAGCCTTGGGTCTGTAGAGACTGAACAGCATATCCATATGTCTAGAGGCAGGTGTGTTCTTCAGCATT